CGCGGGCACGGCTTTCAGTGCGAAGCCGGGTGCCGCTCGCGGTGGGGATGCCGCGTCGTTACGTCGTTACGTACCGCGTCCGTAGGACCTTGCGCGCGCTAACGCTCGCGCGACGCGCACGGTGCGTCTCTACGACGGTCACGACCCACGATTAAACTCTCCCCTGAGTCGAACACGCGCCCCTTACAGCACACAGTACGCGTTTTTACGTTCCGTGGCGGAAACGCTACGCAACGACGCGGGAAGCAGGGTACGAGCATTTTTTTCTCTTGCTTTCTCTCTCTTTCTCTCTCTCTCTCTTTCTTCCTCTCTTTCTTCCTGACGGTGCAAGCGACATGAGAGCGTAAGGAGCGGTAGCGCGCGCGTTGTTGCAGTCTATCGACTCCTCGGACTCGAGCGGGGATAACCGAAGCGCGAGGCACGCTGGAAGTGCCGCAGCCGTACGTCGTGCCATGCCAGTATAAATATTGTTCTGTCGCTCGCGTGAACCGCAGCTTCTTTGCTCCTTTCTTTCACGCTGCTCCTCTTTCGTTCATATCTCCTCCTTTCTTTTTTTTTTTCATCCTTTCCCTTCTCCTCATTGTCTCTGCTGGTCGCTCGTTCACGTTCGCCTCGTCATACACACGATTCGGCTCCCTCGACGAAATTGCTGAAATAAAAAATATACGGACGCGAATTTGAGTGATCGCAGTGATAACCGCGATTCGTTCAGTGATAGAGACTCTTCTCACGATAGAATGATCGGAGTAGTTATCTCATGTAATCCCGCAGGACGCGAAACGTCCGGTGAGCCGCGGTGACCGTGCCGCTCTGTCATCTGTTTCCAAGAAAAGAGAGAGAGGGAGTGAGAGAAAGGGAGGGAGAGAGGGAAAGGAAAGAGGGAGCAAGAGCGAGAGGACTGGCCTCTACCTGCCGAGCGGGCGAGCGACCGAGGCGAGATCCGTGTGTGTGTGTGTGGTAACCCGTGATATGGCTCGTCGTCGGTGGTTCCTCGCCGCCTTTATTACAGCGGAACCCGAATGCGTGCGCGAACGCGAGCGTACCCCTCTCGCCTGACCGGCCTACCCCACACCGTAAGGCTGCGTTCACACGTGAAATCGATTTTCGCGCGGGGACCGTCATCCGGCCGTTCCTCGCCGAGGAGTCGCATTACCACGGTTAATGAACGGAACCAACGTCGGCCGACCGTCCAATCAGCTTTTAGGTAAGACCCGCCGCCGGAAATATTTCGACAATAGATCTATTCTTTTTAGTTCTTGCATCGTTCTCTTTTTTTTTTCTCCGAGAGGAAAATATAAATCAAGTTCAGCTAAAGAAAACAGATTTCATCATTCCTCTTTTCTTTTTCTTTTTTTTTTCTCGTCTGACCTCTAGTGATCGAATGAGTCGTTGATATCGAGAAAACGTTTTCAAATGGAGAACAAAGTCTTTTCGGTTCATCGAA